AGGTTTTAATTTTATATTTATTTTAAATATCCTTATAGTGGTATTTGTGAAAAATGGTTGTTTATATGATTCCATTGATAGCAATATTGGAAACATGGACTTGATTCTTTCGTGGCAGTGTCATAATTTACCAAATAAGGAAAGATTCTCATCAACCAAGGTTTCAGTTGGATAGAAACTTGGAAATCATGCAAGTTGTATAGTATGATGAATGAGAATTTTTCATCTTTGGAAAATTAAGATTAATTCCTCGTTCACATGTATATGTGAGTCAAGTGAAGGACTAAGGGATCGAGTACACATTCTGGTGCACTGATCAAGTCCACCATAAAAGATCGATAAGACTATTCGTCATGATTTACTAAAATTTAGTAAATATGGTTATACTTACTAGTTTAAGTATAATTCTGAAACATTGGAAAAGTTTCGATGTATGGCAGAACGAATGAGAAGAATCAAATTAGGCAGAAGGATAAAAGTTTCTCAAATTTGAAAAAATGGGAGAGTACTTTAGTATCATGTTTTGTGATCATCTTAATGATTTAGAAATCATGTCACAATTAGTCCTCTAAGGACATCTTAGTGCATTCTTATGACTAAGAAGAGGAATCTTGAATTGTTGGAATGGTTAAATCAAGAAGATGAGTCATACTTCGTTCCAAAACAAGTCTTAGAGTCATACTCCAAGACTGTAAGATGAGTGACATATCTTAAAGAAAGGTTTATAACACTTGTAAAATGTACGAGTAAAAGTGTCCTACTCTTGTACATTTGAAATTGGTAAGTTGTGATGTTTTGGATAAAACAAAGACCAACTTATGCCAATTGTGTAAAGTGTTTGTCTTGATAAAGAATCCGCACTATCTCTTGAATATTTGACAATTGAGTCTTATATGTCAAGGAAACAGTGGGAGTCTTAAAGATCATGAAAGTATTTCAAGATCTAATTAAGAATAAAACCTGTAGTTCATCACTAGCACACGACTTGAGGTTTATAATCTATCGTGTTGACATATTCCTACTTGTGTGCCCATTCCAGTGAAAGTTGGCTTTGCATATGAGTTCTGATAGTTCTCAATTGGTTGCATAACAACTTGGAAGCAATGACAGGCCCTTGTGCTGCCAGGTGGCAAGAAAGTAAGATTGAGTTCAGTCCATATGAGTTTGGATAAGAACACTTACACCATAAACAATCTAAGTGTCATAAGGTTTCTCCGATTCATGAAAATGATGGTGAAGAAACGCTTTCACCAAGTAGATTTTTAGGTAGATAGCAAGTGTCATATTTGCATTCTCAAAGTCGTTAGTGGAGTGTGTGTGGTTAACCGACACACTAACATGGACTTGTGAGGAATGGCAAAGGTCTGAACAATTGAGACTATGATTACGGCATCCCTTTTCATAGTTCTGAAATTGTTTAGACACACATGTGTGCTATCTAAGGAAAGGTGTATGATCTTGATAAAGTTTTATCAAAGCATTTCGTATCAGAAGTCTGAACTTTGCTAAGAAAGTCAATACAATATTGATTTCTAGAAGTCCAGCTGATTTCTGAGTACATGTCAAAGCTATTGGGAGAATAAGTGTTATGCTAATAATCACATGATAATTATAATTATTATTGCAAGATAGCAATGTTAATTATAGAAAACAAAAGTTTCAATTCGTGAAGTTGCAGGGGTTGACAAGTTGTTTTGCTATAATTAAGGGAGAGGAAATTATACTTCATTTCAATTCTAAAAGCTTAGATTGAGGTCTTAATCATATTTAGTCAAAGATATATATGAATTTTGTGTTGGAATGGCTAAACATAAGGAAATTCTATATATGGGTCCATTATTTGCGTTCTAAAATTCGATTATGATTACGGCATCCCTTTTCATAATCTGAATTATGAGAACTTGGCAAATAGATACAGAAATATTATAGCAAAAGACTGGTCTAGTATCATGTCTTTATGTGAGACATCATGAATCGTATCCCATGTGCTTCGGATATAGGATCGATTACATGTACTATAATATTCATCCGTTCTAAATTTTCCAAATGCTCAAGGCATTAAGAAGGGAAAAATTCTAGAATTGGAAATGACTAAAATGATTAAGCAATTGTCGAGGACAATCTAAGGTTTACCAAAGATTGCTTGCTCAGGGACAATTGGAAGTATAGTGTTAACATTGGAAGGACCATATTGACATATTCTGAAAAGAGGCAACTCTTGTTCAGAAGTGATAGTCAAAATGAGAATATGGAAATGTTTCCACAGGTGGAAATTATTCAATCTGTGTAAGATTAAAAAAAACTTAATGCAAGAAGGATATTTCCATGGAGTTGATCTCCATTGGAATACTCTGTAATGTCTGTTGACAAGTCTTTGTGAGTTTATGCATAATCATTACAAGAGGATCAATGCATATAAGTTTATAATCTAACAGATTTTGGTAAATGGCAGGATTTGGAATTCTTGCATTTGCGGTAAAGATTTGGGATTGTGAAATGAGAATCATTGGAATTATGTTCAATCGATCTATTTCACAGAGTAAAGATCATAGACAAACTTAGTGTGCATACTTGATGTATGGCATAACTAATGTTTAGACAAACATAGTGTGCATACTTGGTGTATGACATGACTAGTGTTTAGAAAACATAGTGTACATGCTTGGAGCATGGGACAGCTATTGTTTTAATTCAAGTATAAAGTTGATAGTTTGAAACAGTATACAATGAATGATATGTAATCAATATGGTGATAAATAAAAGATGTTTTATTTATATTCATAAGTTCCGAGACCATATTGGATTCGATTATTCTTTTGTTTCACTTTGCATGTTTTGACTTCCAGAATAACTAGGTTGTTCCTCCTGAATGACTAAGTTATTCAAACCATCCACATTCGGTCATATGTTGGAAGTAGATATGAATCAAGACTGTCATGGGTTGGCTTGTAGAGGTCTAAGATGTTGGACAAAGCAGTACTACAACACTCATGAGTGCTCATAAGTTCTGAGTACTGGATTCAACCCACGCTCATTTGACTCACTTCATGGATTTTATCACGAGTGATCATGAGACGATAATATCTTATATTCTTCAAACCTAGAGATATGAGTTGTTACTATGAGTTGGTTGTACATTGATTGCGTGAAAACGCATTGGTAACTCGATGTTGTAAAACGTGCCTTTGTGTATGATTCAACAAGTAGTAGAACAAGCCATATGATTCGAAGTTTATCCATTCCTTTTACCTTCGGGATAAAAGCGATATCTGTAGGCCCCTCGATGATTTAATGATGATACATGTGAGTGCTTGGCCAAGCTAGGACTGATTTGATATGTTCAATCAGTCAGTCGTCATGAATCGGAAATCGGGAAACAACAAATGGACTGAGAGAATGATTGATAATCCATGTCTCAGTTCATATGATATCTAGAATGGAGGAATATATGATCCCTTATCTAATGATCAAGTCATTGACGAGATCAGAGTTCAGTTACAACGTCAGAGTTCAACAGCGGCTTTTGAGAGCTACGATTTCCAGTTGGTTCTTGAAGTCATACGCAATAATAGTTTTAGACTTATCCAAGTGGGAGACTGTTGGATTAGTGTCTAAGTCCATAACTATAATTGGTATGTACTTGACCCGACTCGGCATGGTCCATTTGGGTTGCGTGGCATCAGAACATTTGGATAGACCGTTTGTGAGGAGAAGACATTTGTGACATATTAATATATTATAAGTTCTAATATATTTATATGAAATCATGTTATTTAATTAGTATTGATCAAGAATTAATTTGGACTTAATTTAGTGATCAAAAGAGACTAATTAAATATATGGGGATTGATTGTGTAAATCATTCATTCTTATATATGTGGGTTTATGATCCATGATTCCTTATGTTTGGTTTAACCCATGTGGTGACCCATGGATACTCCATGGAGGTTAAAACCCATAGAGCATAAGGAATGGGTAAAGTCATGGGTTACATGGTGTAACCCTAATATGCACACTATATAAGGACCCCTTTAGCTCAAGAAATGGGCGCTAGTGAAACATATATGAGGGCTAGCCGATTTGAGCATGAGTGTCTTCTTCTCATGGTTATTCCAAGTGTTGATGATGTTGTGTGAACCATTTGAGGTGTCACACTTGGGGCACTAGGCTCTCGAGCTTCATGGAGTCAAGCTACATCAACAAGGTATGTATTCTATCTATTTTATTACCCAAGTATCAAAGATTGTATGCTAGTTAGGGTAATACCTTGGAATATTCATATTTGCATGTATAATAGAGAAAACATAGATCCAAGGTATTTAGGGTTGCATGTACACTTAGGAGTGTTAGAATGCTCAAAACCCAACAACTATCACTATCACTATCACTATCAATTCAATGGGACAAATAATACTCACTACCTTCTATTATCATACCTACCTTACCTTCTTTTATTCCATTTAAACCTTATTAAACAAAAAAATGATTTGCTACTACTCACTCTTATAATAATAATAATAATAATAATAATAATAATAATAATAATAATAATAATAATAAACCAAACACACAAACTATACTATTCCTTTCAAAACCACACCACATACTGATGATACCAAAACCAATCATTTGGTTTGGATTTTGGTGGTGTTACGAGTTTATAGCTCAAATGTGTAGTAATTTCAAAATATCATGAAACTACATGAAACTATTCTTCAGTGGTTAAACAACAATTTACTTGATGCTGAAGAATGTCAACAATAATAATGTGATAAGAAAAAAAAATTAGGGTTTAATGAAATCAAATTTAGGAGAGAAAACGATAATCTTAATGATGAACTACCAAAAAAAACCCTAATTTCTCATAAGCACAAGGTTGGAGCCAAAACAAGATGCATCAAAATATCAAAAGTCTAGACAACAAAGACATAATATAGAGATGTTAATCAAAATGACATGCTGCATACTTTTATGCTATTCACTACTTTTCAGACCTGTAGCTACTCTTGGTTATTGTTTTCCAAAACTTTCTTATTTCCGCCAACTGGATCCATCAACTCCAAACCTCTGCCAACCTTTGCCTTCATTCCACAGTTCCCATGCCTGATACATTTATCCATCATATATATAGAGATGTTAATCAAAATGATGAAGAAACTCAAATAACTTACAAGACCTAGAAGGTAAGGTTGAGTGGGTGTTCCACATCATTCATCTTATTGCTTACAATTTCAAGCAACAAAACACCAAAACCAAACACATCCGTCTTTGTTGAAACAGAGCCTTCTAACATATACTCTAGGGGCATATAACAATTGTATATCAATATATCCAATCAATACCCGATTGTTATTATTGGTTAGGGACTCATATTGACAAAAGATAAGTTATGGACTCACCGTGTTCCAACAACTCGACTTGTATTTGCTTCAGACTCATCCATCCCAAATAACTTAAAACCTGATATTTTTGGCTTCAGGTAGTCATCTAGCAAGATGTTACTTGCTTTCAGATCTCTATGGATAATCTTCAGCCTTGAAAACCTATGGAGATATAGGAGTCCCTGAGCCACTAAATGCCATCAAGATTACAAATCGTGTATTCCAATCAAGTAATCCTTTCTTCCTAGAATCTGTTCAAAATTAAATGAGAAAGATAGCCAGACAAGATGAAGTAAATGTTGATTAGATCTTACCAAATAGAAAGGAGTCCAAACTTTTATTATGAGTCCATATTTCAGCATTGACTACATTACATCCAAGATTTGTGATAATTGCAGATACTTCTGATAATAGTCCAGGTCTGTCTATTCCAGCTAGTTCTATTACTGTGTAATCTTCAGAAGGCTTTAATACAACTAAACCAGTTAATGAAGGGACATAAAAAGCATCACTTTCAAGCACCTGTAATGAAAGAAACATTACATAGTGAGCTTTAATTCCAAGATAGGCTTTAGAAGGGGTAGAAGTAGAAAAGACGCGTACCTTTTTCGCAAGCGAGACAAGCGACGCCGCCGCGTCGGACCTGTCATCTAGGCTTCCGGTGTACAAAATCGCGATTTGCTCCCAAATTAAACACAAAATAGGTTTATTAGCAGTGATCGGAAAGAGATGATCTGAGGTCAGAGGTGAGTTGAGGTAGATTCGGTAGTGGTGGAGGCGGATTAGGGTTACAGAGAAAAGGAGAAGGAGAGAGTGAAGGTTGTCGGCTGGTGGCGTGCTTGCCTTGATCGACGTCGGCGACCGGGAATGGCAAGTAACGATGGTCGAAGTGCGAGGGAAGAAGTAGGCGGCAGTTAATGTCCAATGTCGTGAGGGGGAAGGAAGGAGTGTCGATAATTAGAGCAAGAGGGAAAGGAAGAAAAAAGGAGGCGGGCTTTTTAATTTTTTAGGATTTCATTTCCCCCCGCTATTAAAGGATGGAACGCGCGTTTCCATTAAAATTTATAAAGCGACATCTTCAGACGGCACACATTTTATTATAAGCACCCTCCGTGTTTTTTTAGACACTAATTTAAGGGCACGCAAAAATGCGCGTCCTAAATCCTTAAAATTTACAGAGAGGTGACATTATTTTTAGGTCACACACTTTTGTGTATCGTAAATCGATGCGTATCATAAATTGTGCGTTGTAAAAGAATATTTTTCTAGTAGTGTGTACACATTGGTGTACGGCCGTACACCCATTAGGGCCGTAAACTCATGTCTAGATATGAGTTATACCTTCATTTCTATTCATTTCTCACTCATCCAAGACAAGAAATCAGATTTCTCTCTCAACTATCATCAACTTTTTCACCTCGATCTTCAAGAATGTAAGTATTTCTTCCGTTGATTTCTTGATACATAGCTTGATCTAGTATCACCCTTTGATTTCATCCATGAAATTCGTCTTTTGGTTAGATCTTCAAGTTTTCTTCACATTCACCAAGAACACCTACTTGTTCTTGGGCCGTGAACTCATTAGAAGCCTTCAAAAGTGTGAGTCTTTCTTCTATCTTCTAGCTAGGCTTGATGATTACATGATTCCTAGCCTTAAAACATCATCTAATGCATGAACACAAAGAGTGTACGGCCATACACCCTTCATATGGCCGTACACCCCTTGTTTGGTGCATGTTTAGGCCTCAAACTCATGTTATGTTGCAACATAAGATCATGGACACTTAGAGGATGCTAGATAGGGCCGTAAACCACCTTCTTGGAATGTTCTTCAAGGAGTGTACGGCCGTACACTCCATGGCCGTACACACATGTGGCCGTATACCTCTTGGCCGTACACACACTAGTGTGGCCATAAACCCCTTATATGCAATCCTATGAACTTATAACACATAAATCTAGGTGTTTCCTAGTTCCTAAGGTGTTTTCCTTACATGATTAGTTGTGTGTACACTAATTATATACATATATGTATCATTATATGCTTAATAGGATCCGTTTGTGTTCGAGGCTTCACTTGACACTTAGCATCCTATATCGAACTTACATTCGTATCACTCACTACAGATGAGTTCATACCCCTAACTTATCTTTGAAATGATTTTAAATGCTTTCATGGGGGGAATACAAGTAGAAAACATTATAGTTATTATATCAATCACATGTGATTAATAACTACCCAATCAAGTAGATTTCTTATTCTTCAAAACTGTGTTATCAAACTGTTTCAAAAACCTTTTTATAAACTGACATCAAGTCATTTATAGCCATTCAAATGGTTAAAACTCTTTTATATGTTAAATTCTTTATCAAACTCTTTTAAACTTATATATTGTCAAAATCATGTGTATATGGATATAGTTATATAAATAAGGTTGAAAGGGCTTAGGACTGATAACTCGCCTTATTTCATGTTCCTTGTTTGGTTGTGGACTTAGGGTATTCGGTTGTTTGTCCGAATGTCGTTTGAATCTTAGTTATATATTATGTATATGTATATAGATATAAAAGTTCTTCCTTTTAGTTCAATACCTTTGGGTAGCAAAGGTGTTCAAACATAATCAGTCATTCAAACAACTTTACTAGTAAACTATAATTGGTATAGTTTAGGAAGTCACTACTTACTATTTCTAGAACAATGAGACATACAAGAGTCAGTTCATACATGAGTCAGTTCAAACATACTATAATGGGAAACAGTGAGAACATATTATACACTAGAACAGAGAGAACATACTATATACTAGAAACAGAACGAACATACTACACTAATACAATAACAAGATAACATTTATGTGAGCCACTACTTCATGGCGTGGCAATATACTGGCGTGTCACGTTTTGTAACTAGAGTCTCCTGGAGGGAGAGCGTGAATTTGTGTATAGATCTATACGGGATTGACCATCCTACACCTTGCTGCTAGCTACAGTGGGACCTGCAGTTCTACGGGTAACGAATGTCATACCATTTCGACGTCTCGATCATCGTGTTTTACTAGTTAATCAAGTATGGTTATAATCTCATCACATTTTACCTTAATTAAACGAACAGGTTTAAGGTAGTTAGTACATTGGTAGTTACTTATATATAAAGCTACAGTACTTCTTTAATTTTCCCATTTCATTCACATTGTGATCTTCTCACATAAACGGTAATGAAAACTATATTTTGGTAATGATAGTCATACTTTGGGAAAACACTCACTTTTACAAAAGAACAGTTGGGTCTTGGTAGAAGACTACTTTAGTAGAAAATATAGGATTTTCTAGGAAGTTTACAAACATTTACATCAAACACTTACAAACTTTTACAATGAACATTTACAAACACTTTCATCAAACTTATACAAGTAATGACATTAAAATACTTATGAACTCACCCGCTTTAATGCTGATCTACACTTTCAAAATAACTTGTATTCTCAGGTCACCAGTAGACAGGTACCGATGACCAGGTTTTGAGAAGATGGAGCACGTTCAAGACTCATCTCTTATTTTTGGTGTCTTATAAACTATACAGAACACACTTGTATTAAAATTATATTATTATGCAATGGATGATGTTGTTGCTTGTTTTACTATTATGCATTATTATGATACTGTACATGACGTCCTCCGCCCCCGAACGTTTCCGCCGTTCTGGTTTGGGGGTGTGATAGTTGTGCACTCTCTTTCATTCCCTCACTCGATCAGTTTGTATATAAATACAATCACAAAAAAACACATAACTAAGAATCCATCAATTAGGATGTAATTCGTTCAAGCGCTCCAACACATATTACTCTCTCTCTATGTTGACTACAAATCGTCATCAAATCAGCCACATAATACTAAGTGTACCTAATCATTCGTATCTCACTAGTCACGAAGAATTAAGCGCAACTCCTACTATCTACATCCACATTTAGGAATTCTCATGACATAACGTCACACTCGTTTCTCCTTTGTGTCTCTCTTGTGCCGCAACACTAATGAACGACTAACATTGATGTATAATATGTGTATCTATGTAACTTATATATGTTTTAGGTTTGAGGCATATAATGCGATCTGCAAGTAAGAACGTTTAACTAAGGTTATTACCCACTTACTTCTCATGTTACTATAAGAACGACCGAGTGAAGGAATGAATGAGATTGCACAACTGTTGTGAACTGATATGACGGTGCATGATCTCCGATGACTGTGTTCTACATAATCCGATAACAACGAAGTTAACAAAAAGTGTGGTATTTTTTGAACATTTTGGAAACTTCGTTACACTTTTAAGTCATTTTTCCGTTTACCTGAAGTAACCGGTTACCACAAGGTTTTATTTGAACACATAAACATTTCGTTGGTATTCTGTGTACAAATAGTAACTTTAATGGTATTTTTTTTGTACTAAAAAAACAACAATGGTATGTTTTAAACATTTAATAACCAGGTAACCTGATAGTTACCTACAATAGTCGGTTCAATGGTATTTTGTGTACTAAAAAAACAACAATGGTCTTTTTTGTACATTTTCGAAACTTCATTACCTTTTTAAGTCATTTTCCCTTACTCTTTGTTCCCTCGTGACCTAAAAAAACGCAGACCCAAAAAACGTTGCCTCCATCCACAGCTCCCCATCGAGGCCAAAGAGAGCTCGCCGGTCGCCGCCATCTCGTCGCCACGTCACCAGTCGGACCTCCGCCCTCCCTATTTCCGACCTCCGTACATAAATTCATCAAACAGGTAAGCTAATCTTCTCCTTTTTTTGTTAATAATTTTTTAAATCAGAAAATGTTTATGTATAAGCTATAAAATCATAATCTGTTTCTGCTTTGATGTTATGAAATTTGAAGTTCTTTGTGTATAAGCTATGAAATCGGAATACTTTTTTGCTCTAATATTATGAAATCTGAAATTGTTTGTGTATAAGTTATGGAATCAAAATTCTTTTTTGTTTATAAGCTATGAAATCAGAAATCTTGTTTGTTCTAATGTTATGAAATCAAAATCCAAATGTTATGAAATTGTTTGGGTATATGTTGACACTGTTGACCTTAATTGTGCTATTATTATTTAGGATGATGTTGATTTCATTGGTATAAAATTGTTTTATGTTTAAATAGTTATGTTAGCTTATTATTTTTGTGAATTGGGAGCAATTTCGGTGTTTATCTTGATCTTGATAAAATTTATGATTAATTAGTTTAAATATTTATGTTTTAGGATGTTGGTTTATACCTTTGTGATGATTTAAATTAGTTAAATATTTATGTTTTAGGATGTTGGTTTGGAACGAGTGTGTGGACAAAACTTTTCTTGATGCATGTATCCATGAACTAACCACTAATGGCTATGATGGTTCTGGGCTTAAGGCAAGTTCATGGAAGACAACACGCGAAAAATTGATAAACGAACACGGTAAAGAGGTTAATCAGAAGCAAATAAGAAACCACTTTGAATACTACAAATCAATGTATGTTGCTTGGGTGAAACTGAAAAACAAAATCGGCAATATATATGATCCTATAAAGAATAAATTTAATATGACCGATGAACAATAGAAGGAAGATGGGAAGGTAATATTTTTATAACAAATACTAGTATGATTATTTTTATAACAAATACTAATATTTATAAAATTTTTAAACATTTGAACAAGTTCCTGTTGTCATTGAAAACTAAGCCACTATTGTTCCCTGATCTTTGCACCCAACTATTTGAAGGGTCGACCTCGACTGGCTTTCAAAGTTGGGGGCCATCTTCTACACTCCCTCGTAATGTAGAAGAGTTTAGTGCCCATGAGTTTGATGATGATGTTCCAATGGAAACCGCAACAGAACACGTAGGTGCAAGTGAAGAATCTTCGAGGCATTCAAAAAATAAGGAAGTTGGTGGAAACAAAAGAGTTGGTGGAAAAAAAAAGAGATGCAAGGGCACTAGAAGTTGATGAGGAGATTGTCAAGCTTGCAAGGTCATTGGTGGAAAAAAATGAAAGAATTGAAAAAAGTGAAATAGATAGGGATGTTGATGCATGTATGGATAAATTGAAGAAAATGGAATGGGGAGAAGAAGATGAAAGACACAAGAACGCTCTTTTTCTATTTGGTGAAAGTGCCGATGTTTAGAAAGTTTGGTTACGACTTTCGCCTACTAGTTGTGAGTCGTGGGTGATGGGTGCGGGTAGGAAGTTTGGTTACATTTGATGACTTTCGCCTACTAGTTTTTTGTTGCATGACTTTTGTTATTTGCATGACTTTTGGATGCTATGTTTGATGACTTTTTGGATGCTACTTTGGATGATTTTTACTAGTTTTTTATTGGATGACTTTTGTTACTTTGGATGCTATGTTATTGGATATTGAAGATGACTTTTGTTATTTACTAGTTTTTTGGTGCATGAACTTTTTTTTTACTTTAACATGTTATCTGTAATTGTTTATAACAGGTCAAGTATGGTTTCTGATGGTGAAGTTGTAGCTTTTCTTTTACTTGTGTTATATTGGTTGAGGTCAAACCAGCAAAGGCTAATCAGAATTCATAAAATAAGAGATAACGATTCAAGTGGGTATGCGTATGCGCAAGATTTGATGCACGGAGACGCTACACAATGTTACGATATGACGCGTCTTACACAAGAGGCATTTGTATTATTATGCAACCATTTTACCCAAAAAATGGTTGCAAGCTAGTAGGACAATAAGCATTGAAGAGAAGATGACTATGTTCTTACATGTTATAGGACATAATGAACGTTTACATGCGGTTAAGAGAAGATTTCGACACTCCACACAAACGATTCATCAATGTTTTCACGAGGTCCTAACTGCAATGATGTGTTTTGAAACAAAAATTATGGTACCAACAACTCCTAATCCAACAAGACATAACTCGGAACGACATAGACGATTAAAAGAGATTTTTTCTGGAGCAATAGGTGCATTATATGGAACTCTTGTACATGCGGTTGTGCCCGTTGATCAACAAACTTGCTATAGGGGAAGAGGAAAAGGTGAATGTTTTCAAAATGTAATAGGAATTTGTGATTTTGATATGATATTCACCTTTTTTTGGGCTGGATGGGAGGGTATAGCACATGATTCAAGAGTTTTAAAAGAAGTTGCATTCAATCCGACTTCTGGATTTCCATTTCCTCCACCAGGTTTGTAATCTTTATATAAATTTTATTATCTATCTTCTTTATATAATATATGTCACATTCATTTGCAGATAAATATTACCTTTGTGACGCCGCATATACAAACACTCGCGGGTTTATGGCTCCATACCGCAATACTAGGTTTTGATTAGCCGATTTTCAAAGAAGCAACCATTTAACTAGAGAAGAAAGGTTCAATCATGCTCATGAACAACTTAGAAATGTTATTGAGTGTGCTTATGGTGTATTGAAGGCGAGATTCCCAATCTTAAAACAAATGACTTCTTATCCTTTTTTACAGTGCAAAGAGACATAGTCATTGCTTGTGTTGCGGTCCATAATCTTATAAGGAAATACAATATACAAGATGACTTGTTTACACATTTTGAGGAGAACACTATGGTTACTCCTGATGTCCAAGGTGGAGGAATGGATAGAGAAAACATACAAGGCATATAATGGGGTCCAAAAGTCGTTCAATATATGCGTGTTTTGCGTAATCAAATTGCAAATCAACTACTTTCACCTACTTTACATTAAATTATTATGTTATTTTAAATTTCATTATGTTTTTATTTGGATATTAAATTATTTATTTTTAATTTACATTTTATATGACAATTTTTATTTGGATTTTTACATGATTTGTGTGTAATTTACATTTTGTATGACAATCTGTATATTTTTATAATTATTCAGCAACTTCATCCATCACTATATAGAGTAGCAGGGTAAAATGATCATTTTTCATCAGTCAGCACATTCAGTTAGATGTACAATCAAACGAGACCATATACATATAACATATAAATATATATTGTTGGCACAAACTCTCGGGACTCGCTGATTCCCTCGAAAAACTTGTCTCAACTACTTTGACAGGTTAATTCCCCCAAAGGGCTTGTCTTGACCTTATTACCTGATATCGCTTATTTTACACAAATATTTTGTGCGATATCGAGTACATTTATGTTGTGTTTTGATGTAATTATATATAAAAGGTATTTATAATGTTTGAAATTGAAATTTTGCAGATATTTAAATTTGCCGGAAGAAACAGAAGAATGGATAAAAAGTTGGATTGGATTTGAAGAAGAAAATTCAGGTGTGAAACGAAGTGTGCGTGATGTGTGCATGATCCATACGCAACACGTCGATGTGGAAGATTTTGACTAAAATGCGGATTCTCGACGCGTACTTGGTCGGCATAAATATTATAAAAGTTGTCGTAATTTCAACCTAAGGATATGTTGAACAATAACATAAGAGGTGATGTTTTGAGAGTCCATAAGTCGATTTCATGGTCGGAAGGCTCTGAGGTTATGAGGCGGCATAGAGCCAGGCAGAAAGAAGTGCTCGGTATCGAGGTTCTGCCTGCGACTTTTTCTGCTGTTCACTAGAAATTTCTATAAGTTAAGTTGCACTTACTATGATTTAAGTGTAACTTATATTTATATTCATAATCGTTATTATGAATGTATAAATAAGATTTATCAGTGATTCCAGTCATAATACTGACTGATCTACTTACGGGAATGATGTCTAGGCTAGATTTAGTGAGGTGTTTAAAGTGGTTTTTCCAAACAGTATACTTTGTATACCAAACGGACCTTACATCCAATATGATCTTACTTGGTTGTTCCTTATTTGATGGATGTCGATGTATTTATTGGGATTGTTGAGGAATCTAGGAAATAGTATAAATACAAGCGAATATTGAAGCACAGTAATATTCGTACTTAGGTTGTTTAAAAGGGATAAGCTGAAGCATTAGCCTAGAAGCTAGCTTCCCGAGGATCTCCCACCTCAATCAGGCGATTTATCTCACTATACTATGTATTATAATATATATCCATGTATGTTAGGACATAATTGATAGTTGAGTAGAGCCGAAAGTATAGTCTCTATGTGCTTAATGTTATCATACTAGAGTTATTGAGTAGAGCCGAAAGTATAGTCCCTTTGTGCTTAAATGTTATTGTATTTGAGTTATTCGTTACGGTTAAGTAAGGGGTTGACGGTGGAACGACGACAGGTCGGGAGCCTATAGACTCGTGTAGACGAAGAAATGGTAGGTAATCCGTAAGTCTAGACACACACATACTCGTGTTGAAGACGAGATGACAGGTAGGCCGTAAGTCTAAGATACATATATTATTGGTGGATCAGCGAAATGTCATGATTCATTGTTTGTATGCATGTATATATATTGTAACATATGGTATATTGGGGAAATCACTAAGCTTTGTGCGAAACCAGGGATATTTTGACTGTACATATGCGCATTGGCATCATGTTTTCCATATAATGTAATTATACTCTGATTTAATTGAATAGATAAAAATGAAAAATTTGTTATGAAAAATCAATATGTTACAATTTTCTTGGTGGACTTGACATCCTACCAGAAATACCTAGTTCTATCATATAAGAAATGACTAGGTAAGATCACTCTAGAGGTAGGATCTGTTTGGTAAAAAGATGTATCGTTTGGAAAATACATTTTAAACACCTCACAGATCTAGCCTAGACATCACTCCTGTAAGTAGATAAATCATTATAACGACTGGTATTACTGAT